TGTGAAGAAAAGGTGAGCAAGATGTGAAGAGAAGATGTGAAGAGAAGATGAGCAAGATGTAAAGGACCTGATAAAATGTTCAAAATCAAAACCGAAGAACCAAAACATCTGGATGTAGCGCTACATGACACTGCATCAACAAACTCTATTCGATCTGATGTTCATCCCCACATATTACACATCATGATTCGTCCCCAGTAGTTCGCTCCCACAAGCACTATACACCTCGCCCTGTAGCTCCGTCCATGCAATATCGCCCCAGCTATATGCTCAAATGTAGATTTTAAAAACCAGCGACAAGTCACTGGTGCTCTCTTCCAACACTGCATTCCACGTGATGGAGATCAACTTCTCTCCACTCTTGTTGTAGCGACAATCATCCCCGTAAAGGCCAATCACATTGTGCCCAACCCCAGGATGATCAGCATCCAGCCAGCCAACCTTGGCATGATGCCAGTAAAGTGCCAGCTCCTGCCGATCCACTCGTAGTTTGCCCGATTCCTGATGAAGCCAGAGTGCTCAATCCCTATACTGTAGTACCGAAAGCTAGTGTATTATGCAGATCAAAAACTAGCGTCTGATCCACTCGTAGTTTTCCCAATTTCTGGAGAAGCAAGGGTGGTCAATCCCTAGCTGTAATACCAAAAGCTAAATCAAAAACTAGCGTGCATGCAAGGCCCCTCTGATCGAGAAAAAGCTAGCATATCCAAAACATGTGTGCAGTCACTCCCCATCTGATCGAGCCCATAAAAATCATCTACACCACAATAACACAAAATCAAGCTAGCGTGTATGCAATGAGGCCTCGTCTATATAGCTGGCATGCTTTTCCTTATCAGAAAAGTGCTCGAATATATTTGCTCGTCCAAGCGTCGTAGAGGAAATGGTACATCTCATGAGGCAACAAAAGTGGTATGCGCTGCAAAATGATCTTGTCTCTGTAGACATTTTCCTTTACAGGCACCTCAACAAAATATGGCGACACTGGCAGCTTCAACAAGCGAAATAGATCTCGTTCGATGTTGTTGGGAAATTTTCCATGAGCGCCAAGCGAAGCCAGCTTCTTTGTTAATGTACTGACACGACCTCCATATGCCTAGATGGGGTTCAGTAGGCCGAAGCCCACCTGACCATTTATGACCAGAGACCCCATAGAAGAGATTTTTTTGGGTAGTGTTTCAAAATACAATTTCCAAAAAGTAAAAACCATCCAGGTCGGTGACACAGGATCTTTTTTGTGTTTCGGCGTCCGTCCTCCACCTCTTCCACACAGGCAGATGCAGCCCGTTGCAGCTCTGCGCACGAAGTTGCCTCTGGCAGCCCGGACACTTTGGCCACTATATGGATGGGTTGGAATGGAAAGGCATTGGTGAGATGTCAAGGAACAGTGTCAAATAATGGTTTTGCTTATTGTACCGCCTTTTTGAGGAACCAGGAAGGGTTTCCGGATGTTCTTTTTTTCGGAGACCGAGGTTGTTTGGGCAAAGCCTCCTTCATGATCAATCTTGATGTTAAACATATATTTCATGGTCAGTTTTATCTCAATTGTGTACATGATTCCAGCTGTTTTAGTGGACTCGAACCTCTCTTGGATGGTCGAAGTATCAAAATGCGAACCAACTAGAAGTACATATTAGTTTTGATTCCACTCCTTTGGATTCAAGCCACAAACACAACTGAGGCATATATTGATAGGCTCACCTGGTGATATCCCTTCCACCACAATCAGACATGGACGAGTGACACCACGGCCCAAAGTGCACAGCAAGTAGTCAGCGAAGCTGTGCTGACCTGCGCATGGGGCAGACAATTGTAGAAGAGTGTACTGTCAATGACACCCTGAATCCTGGAGTCACACCTTCATACCCTCCCAGAGGTTGGGTAGTTTGATTTTCTTCTAGTCAGTAATTGTGGTGTGTCGAATGTTGTTGGGGATGGGCATTACCAAGATCTCTAGAGCTTGCCCCAAACATCAGCGGTTCTCCTCGTGGATGATACAACATGTACGATCGATCGATGGTAGCGATTGTACTCCAACATGTCTCCACGCAAATCCCTTCCAAATCCCAACCATGTTATTTCCTTTCCGAGCTGACCAGATCGATTCCCGCGGCGGCCCAATCCTCTAATACTTCAGTATTTAGATCAAACATGATCTGTACTCAAGCACACTGACAACACTGTTCGACTCTTCAACAGTATGTGTATACATCGATCTAGCTTGAACGGCTAGTGCGCTTGAGACACCCAGTGTACAGAGGAACTCCACAGGTTCTATCGAGATCTTGATTCAGCGCTTCAGCCGGTGCAACTGACATACAGGTTGGTTTAGTCTTCCAAAGTCACCACTAACACGAATATGCATATATAGAGAATCATCAAAATTATACAAAAAGGGTGTCCAACATAGTCTAACAGATATATATAAATATTACTTGATTATGTTGATATACACAGGCCCATGTCAATGCCAAAACTGCTGAAAGATCAAAGCTTATGGCTTTGCCTGTATGGCTATGCCTTTGCTTTTGCCAAAGCCTTTGACTTTGGAACAGCAACATGTTTCCGCACCTGCAATGATGCAGTCTTGTACGATTCATTCATTTGATCGCACTTCTCGCGATGCACTAGCAAATCAGTGCCGCTCGACAGGGCCGATTCCAATGCAGCCTTGGCTGCTCGGAGCGACTTCCCTTCCTCCTCCATTTGGGCCACAAAGGCATCTCTGATCAAGGTCCCAACACCGGCATTAGAAAGCTTGTAGTTCCACTGCGAGATTTCGAGGAGGTTGGCATTGATCTTGACCAGTGCCTCAGATACCAGTATAGCGCCCCATTTGGAACCCATGCTAAGTTGTCCACAGAACCAATATAGAAACAAAAACAAAATATTTATGGGAATGTCTCAAAATAGGGGCGCCCGAACGTTTATTTTTTGAACTAACATGTACAGATTTGGGGCGCCCATATAGGCACCCCTATTTTGAGACATCCCCATATTAATATGATTAGCAAAATTAAAGCTACAGCTCGCGCCATCTGTTCTTCTGTCTTGGGTTTCGCTGACTTCCTCTTGGGATCAGCGGGGGGCATTCTCCCCGCCCTTGTTCTTGTTCTTGCCCTTGTTCCTGCCCTTGCCGCCATTGCCACCACTCGGTGCACCACCCCCACCACCAGCTGGAGAACCGCCGGTATTCCCTGAGTGCTGCCCGTCAGCCTCCCGAATCACTCTGGCAGACCTGGAGCTAATATGTTCCGTCTCTTCAACATCCTCCACCCAGCAACGATACAGCCGCATGTCCTAATCGTTGAATCAATCCAAATGAACAAAACAGAAACACAAATTAATGAACAAAGCATAAACAAGGCTTACCATAATTCATCAAGCCAGTGGCTTCACGCCCAGGAAACTCAGGATGGTCTTTCCAATCACCAGAGACCAGCTTACCAGTGATCAACTCCTGGACCAAGGCTGCATTCTGATGATACTTGACCATCAAATCCTCAGAATCAAATGCCTTCAAAAGAACATTGCTTGTGCCAGGTAAGTACACTGGCAAAAGACACGCGCACAGATTTTAAAAAACAAAACATACTATTTCAGCTCACCATGAGTCCATCTTAGTCAGCCACTTGTAAGTGCCCCGGGTTTGCTCCCTCTCAGTGTTCTCCGTGGAAATCACCAAGACGGATGACATCCAGTCCTCGTTGCACTCAATGTATTGGCTGAACAGAGCACGCATTGACCTCCCTGTGCGGTCCTGGGATGCCTCCATGAACTTCCTTGGAACTAGTGATGCCAGAACCGCATTTGGAAAAAAACACATTAAAAAAACCATTTGCACCCCACACATATCACCAAAGCTACTAGTCGAGATTAAGGGTCTCAGTCACTTCTGGCGGTGCCTTGACAGACCTGACACTCCGATAGAACCGCATGTACGCTGCCCTAGCCTCTCGGATGTCATCGGCTGATGGCTCTGCTTGCTGTGCTGGTTCTGCTGCAGCTGCTGGTGCTGTTGCCTGCAGTGGTGCTGTCACACCTGGCTCTGCAGATCCTGCATCCGACTGCACTGCACCGGGTGGTGCTGGGTTTGCCTCCACCTGTGCTGCAACAGGTGGTGTGGACTTTGGCATAGGTGCCGGCCCAGGTGGCATGAGCTGCGGGCTTGCTTCCACTGCTGCTGCCGTTGGTGGCGGAGTGGCTGCAGGGCTTGCTGATGCTGGTAGCTGCGGGCTTGCTTCCACTGCTGCTGCCGTTGGTGGCGGGGGGGCTGCAGGGCTTGCTGATGCTGGTGCATGGGCTGTAGCAGCCTCGGATCCTGTTGGTTCCACAGGTGGTGGTGCTACACTCTTTGGGCCAGCAGAGACTGGTGCTGGAGAGGGCGCATACGATGGTGTTGGGCTTGATAGCATCGAGAACTCATCAGTGCTCTTCCTCCGAATCGCCGACCAAAAGGCTTTGGCCGCATCAGCAGTGACAGGAGCAAAGGTGACTTTGTCATCTGCAAGTGCCACTGGCGGAGCTTTTGCCTTGGCCTTTGGCATTGGGCTTGTCTGGAAAGGCTGGCTGCTGCAAGCATGCACTGGTGATGGTTGGATTGCCAGTGGCGGTGGTGATGCCTCCATCGGGGTTGGAACAGCACTGGGTGATGGATCGATGATCACAATTGGTGACACTGGCTGGTTTGGACATGGTGTTTCTTCTTGCTGGCTGTTCTCCACTGGTAGTGTCACAACTGGCTGGCTGTCATCGACCAACATTGGCTCCACCCTCTCAACGACTGGTGCCATTGACATGGCAGCTGGACTTGGATCCGGTTGGCTTGTCTCAACCGCAGGTGCCATCGGCATTGCAGCTGGACTTGGATCAGGCTGGCTGGTCTCAACCACGATCACGGACTGGCTCGTCTCAACGACAGGTGCCATCGGCATGGCAGCTGGACTTGGATCCAGCTGGGTGGCCTCTACCACAGGTGCCATCGGCATGGCGGCTGGACTTGGCCTGGTGCCTGGCTGTTGGCAGACATCACTGGGGGATTCCATGGGCATGGTGGCTTGCTGGCTGTCCTCAACTAATGGCGGTTCCATTGGCATGGCGACTGGCTGGCTGTCATCAACCATTAGTGTTGATGAATACTCCATCGTCTGCTGGCTTCTCAAAAGTGCCTCATCCAGTGTTTGCTGGTCATCAAGTTCTTCTTGAATCTCCGCTGGAATCACCTGTGGTACCGGCACTGGTGGCAGAACAAGACGTTTGGTCTGCGGTGTAGCCTGCGACTTCACCACACCATGGGGCACCACAGCAAGATCCTGATCATACAAAAATACGATCACAGCTGGTAATGCAGCCAGGATAAACTAATGATTGTGCGCCTGTGAATAGAAATCTATATAATTGATATATATATATATAGCTTTGGCAAAATAAATCAAAATAATGGCACAATATACTTAAGCAACCAACCAGGTTCAACACCAGCAGTGGCATCATCATCCACATCATCGAAGTTCAGCGCACGCGGATCTAATGAATCTGAAGATTCCACCAGTGGCCTCCTTGGTTTTAGTCATGTAGGCATGTCCGGCCCCAAGTGAAATTCATAAACATAAAAATAAAAGAGTTACAAAATGAAATCAAAGCCTAGTTTCTTGGATTCTGGTGTCACTTTGGTGGACTTAGTTGGAGTTGGCCTAGACCGCTTATCCAACCCAGCCCCTGTCACCTGCGCTGCAACCTTCTTGCGTCTCTCAGCAGCTTCAAGGGCCAACTGAGCCGCCTTCCAGGGAATATAGCTTATCCAAAAAAAATATCGATGTGAACGAAATTTGCCCTGATAACTCACCATATTGTTCACCACATTGTATGTCAATAAGGTTGATTTGTTTAGCTATACTGTTTTTTTGCTCCCACGCCTTCACAAACGTACGGTGATCCGAGGATGACATCAGCGGGTCACGCGAGCGACTGGATGTGTGGCTTGCTTGGGCACGGAAACAGGCTTCCGGCGAGTGTTTTTCTCGATAGGTCACGGGTCCTGAGCTGGTCCTGTACCCAACGATCGAACCAGGTTCCCAAAGGGCCCACCCAGACCCCAATCACGGTCCGTCACGGGTTGTCACGCTGGAGTCCGACAACGACCTCATTTTTAATTGGAAAAAATAGATAAATCACGCTCTGTCACGGTCTGTCACGGTTCGTCACGCCCTGGTACCTGTTCCTCACCTTTGTCACGGATACCCACCCAATCCACAATGTTCTTCGAGGGAGTGGTTTTACTAGATCTTAAAGCTTATACGATAGCTATATTCACTTCAAATCCCTGGTGCTGATACCATCCAGATGGTTTAGACAGACTCAAAGTGGTTCCGACTCACGATCCGAGCATCCAGTGGCTATATTGGACTTCAGCCCTCCTGTTTGGATACAATCTCACTGGTTTCCACATGGTTCTTAGTTGAACACATCACTAATTCAAGAATCCGTGATGCTTTTCCATGCATATATATATATATTGTCGCCACCTAGAAAAAAGACAACACACACAATGAGCTTTACATGAACAAACATTATTGGCTTTTAAACAAATATGCATACCGGCACCGCCCATGTGCCCAAACGGATTTGTGTCCCCTGTAAGGACAGCCCAACCCACCCAAGCAGCTCCAGCACAAAAGTGCCTGATAGATTTCTTCTCGGACAAACCGCTTGCTATCCAGCTGGAAAAATGCAATGTTCAAATGCACCAGCTGAACTTGCAAAACTAGTAATTTCTCGATCGGTTTTTTGTGAACCAATTTGGATACGTGATCTTTCACCAGATGAATTAATGAACTGCCTCGAAAAGGCAACGAGGGATCCGGATTGAATCGACCCCTCAATTGCTCCTCCTTTAAGAAGGCCTCCAATGCAGGCAGATCAGCATGCTTCCACAGCAAAGGCATCTCCTTAGGTGCGGGTTGAGGAACATCCACGTTAACTACCCGGCTTTAAAAACACCTACATTATTAATGTAGTCTTGTCCTGTTCTCTATTTTACTGACATGGTTGGAAAGACTTATCACTAGTACTTATCGACTTATCCCAGACCCCTAGTGAAGTGAAGAGTAGGTGAGCAAGATGTGAAGAAAAGGTGAGCAAGACATGAACAAAAAAGGTGAGCAAGGACTGCAATGACAAAGGGAGCAGCATCAAACTTGCCAGGCCGACCTCCAGACTCACAAGACAAGCAGAAGGGAAGGACTGTGGCCGAGACGGAGACACAGCAATACAGCTGCTGGTCGCAAATGCTCCTGTGGCCCTGAGAAAGGCTGCATAGTTTCCTTCATCCAGATCATGACGGGTATGCAGGAGGCACCTGGAACTTCCAGTCAGATCGACGATCTGAAATGGCCCGCCTTCGGAAGAGCTACATGCCTTACCTGCAGACTGTGTTGATGCTGCACATCACTGGTGCGAGTTTGACGCGCACCTGAACCAGTGCAAGCACTTCACACTTGACCTCAAACTGCCATTGAGCATGGCACTCGGATTGAACCAACCAAGCGAGATCAAAGTCCTGTTCGATTGCCATGAATGAAGGTCCAGAGAGACCAGAGATGAAATGCACATGTGAAGATGGATCCCCTATATGCTAGCAAAACACAAACACATTCTACCCCAGAAACATAATTTCCACAACCCGCATTGAAGCCCACTAGAACAACAGAAGCACTTCCACAATTTGTCACACAGACACCTAATACAATTATATATTAGAAGCTCAGATGAACACAAGTTCAGTTGAAGTTTCTGCAGGCTAGCCCTTTACTGTGGAAATGAAACGGCCAAGATTCAATATTCGATAAATATTCGATAAACGCCAAGATTCAAAACGGCCATACTTCTGAAGCACTGCATGCCGAGCATTGTACCACTTCTGTGCAGTTACCTTAGCCCGATAATCATACAGTATGGCACACAATACCCGATATAGAATCTCCCCCAGCACAAATAGATATAAACCACAATAATGAGCTGGGATACAGATCTTCTCTTCAGAAGTTTGGCAACATGCTTTCCAAACCCAGGAGCATATGCACCAGAAGATTTGAGACGTGGCCCCCCAGTGACTCTCACACGGCCATCAGGAAGAACCTCCTTCTTGTACATGCCCTTTGAAGCTTTAGATAGGTGCTCCCGTAGATCTTTGGACACTTTTGCTGTAAAGGTCTCCACATTCGGCCTCAGATAATCTAGATCTAAAGCCTATAACATCTTTGCAAGATCTAGATTTTACACCTGCACCCATACATCCGAAAAAAAACACTTTAAAAAATACTACACTACACACAACAGAGTGTGCTCAAGAACAAGCAGCCATGAACCAAATAGTTGGCTCGGTTTAATGCACCAATGGCCATATGCACCCATGGACATCCTCTTGAGGTAGTGAGGCCCCATGCTCGTCAACACATGGCTGATGTAAGGTGAATCCTTCAGCACGCTAGATCCCGGTTGTTCAGCCTCACTGCAGCTGCTAAATATAGAAAATATATATATATAATTAAGAACACGACTGAAATAAATAACCTATAATCGATAACCAAATTGTGCAAAGAAAACATCTTTTTTATAATGTTAACAACCAGTAGCACACCAATAGATCCCCCGGACGATGGCCACCATAATCAACAAAGCACACCTTGCTGAGATGCAGTTGCCCATGGATACACTGGGGATTCGATCATCACCCAATATGCC